GGAAGGCTGCTGAGGGCCTGGGGAGCAGACAGACATTTTTTGTATCAAGCTTCATCTAATCACGGTTCCCATCATTTTCCACGATTTAAGGTCTATCTTATGTCAGTTTTCCATAAGGCTTAGATGAGGAAAGTGCTGACTAACACACAGACGACCGTCTCCTGCTAAGCACAGGAGACCGGCTTTAGTACCTCCCTGGATACCAGCTTCCCTGGGTGTTCAAGTTCCTTATGGAAAACTGCACAGCATTTGCACAGAGCACTTTGAAGTATCAAAATTACTTAATAGTATTTAACCACTAAAGTGTTTTTATACACTGCACTGTTTAAGGAACAAATAATAAGAAAACACATCTAATAACAGTAGAAATATGTCTTGCCCAAACACTCTGCTCTACAGTTGTTTAATGAATCTGTGTAGCCCTGTCCAGCCTGGAACCAGCTCCGTAGACCAGGCTGGCCTCTAACGCACAGAGCTCCGCCTGCCTCTGCCCCCTGGGATCACAGGTGTGCACACAGGTTCACTGCTGAATAAAGGGTGAAGTGCATCTTCGTGCCAGCAGCCATGCCGCAGACCCTACAGTAAAAGCTCGCTGCTCAGGAGAAACCTTCGCCTGCTGTTTCCAAGCGCCCAGGCTTCATGCACCACTCCGCTTTCATAAATCTATTCATAGGCGCGCTATCAGTGCCGGAGATCAGCTCTCTACTGCCCACTTTTTCTAATGAACTTCTGAAATACTACTTTCTGTTTTGTTTTGTTTTATCAAATATGTATTTGATAGGCAAAATACTTCAAACTTCTGAAACGCCATATCCTGGTTTATAATTTTATCTAAGAACTCTCTAAAATTTTACTCACTTCAGAAGGCATAAGACTTCACTATTGTTTTATGTGAAAATAATACAACACAATTAACAAAATGTAACTAATGAGAAAAATAAAATTTAAAAAAAGAATTAAACATAAAAAAAAAGAAAATAATACAACACAAAAATACCCAAGTACATGCATGCAGCCAAGCAGAAACCAAGGCATAAACAAGCTAGGTTATTAAACCAAGGAGTTTTAAGAATTTACGCCTACAGCCAAGTGTAGTGGTGGGCACCTTTAATCCCAGCACTCTAGAGGCAGATAATCTCTGAGATCAAAGCCAGCCTAGTCTGCAGAGTGAGTTCCTGGATAGCAAGGGCCACACAGAGAAATTCTGTCTCAAAAAAAATTATTCATAGCTTTTGATGGGCACAGTCCATAGAGATGGTACACAAGTTTAAAAATGACACTTCCAGCTGGAAAATAATTAAAACTCAGAGCATCAAGTGTTAAGCAGAAGAATGTGTACAAGCCCTGAGTTTCATAGTTAAGTGAACTCCAATCTTTTTCATTTTAAAAATAGTCATATATACACACACACACACAAGTGGCCATCTTTTAAATCAAAGCCCCTTCAAACTCTGAACCCCTTTATTCTATCTATACACACTCATGAATATGTACATACAAGACAGAAGCACACATCAGGCTCAGCTACAAATGTTCAAATATCAGCACAACCAAACAATGCCTATATTATAAAAATATGCTCACCAAAATCAATAATATTTTTTAAAAGATAAACATGCTTACTGCCTCCCTGAGTCAGAAAAATAGACATTCATTTTGGGAGCGATTATATTTGTGTAGAACTGAATGGCTCATTGGGCTGGGGAACACAGCTTGGCAGTAGACAAGTAGAAACAAGAGCTCTCCAAAATTTCAGCAAAGTATTTTCCAAAGTTTAAGGCAATTAAACAGATCTACTTAATTGGGTGTGTGTATTAACTAACATGTATATTATAAATTTGAATGATATATATACTAGAAACAAACACATAATTTAACTATGCAAAAAGAAAAAGGGAGCTATAGTTACTGAGTTTTCAAATTAAGAACTGAACATTAAAATGATATTATATTACTAAAAACAACAACTGGGAATTCCAGTTCTGGTCATTAGAAGGATGACTGTATTGAGCAAATATAAACTGAATGAAATATAAAAACAGCTTTGAAGACAGTGAAGAGACTAAAAACAGGAGAGGTTTGAGGTGATTCCCCCCTGGAGGAATGGCTAAGATCCCTGCGTCCCTGTGGCCGTGCCCAGCCCAGCCATACTCCTCCACCTCCCCGAACGCAGTGAGAACACTGTGTGGGTTTGGGAATGCAGCTGAGTGGGGAAGGAGGGTCAGAGAGAAGGGCAGGGAGAAAGACAGGCAGGCGGGGACAGGGGCACAGGCAGCCTTCAGCTCATCCTCTGACTCTGCCTCCCAAGTAGCTGGGACTACAGACTGTGCAACTTAATACCAGAGCTTCAAAATACAAAGAATACAAACTGGCGGAATTAAGGAGGAAGCACGCAAATTTAGCTCACTTATATTTAATGTGATTACTGATATGACCGGAAGTAAATATTACACCGATTTTTATTTATCTCATGACTCATTTACCTAACTTTCTGTCAGACTGGCAGGCAAGGGTGGAAAGATGCCAATACAGAAGGTGTGAGCAACTCCGTCAGTTACCTGGACTAATTCAAGGTGTAGGCCGGAATGCCCCAGTGCGGAGCACACGCAGCTCTCTTCTCCAGCCTAAGGCACAAATGCACCACTCTAATATATTTGTGTGTCTACTCACCCATCACCAGAAGCCCCAGGTCTATAAAGCAGGGCTCATTGGGGATCCAAGTCAGGGATCTCTTGCCCCCTTAACAAGAATCACACTCTTAAACCAAGAAGCCACCATAAAGGCACAGATGTAAATTTCAGTAGGTTTGCAAGGACTGCCGGAAAGCCCAGACAGGACAAGCAGAAGCGACACAGCACGTCTATCAAAGGCTGCCCTGCCCGTGGATGAGCTGTTTCAGAGGCAGCCTGATTTAGATGGCATGTGTTGATAAAGCTATGCTCATTTTCATGGCTCAGCTATAGATTTTAAAAACGGAAAGGCTCAATAGGAGTATTTCAGAAAGCCCAATTCTCTGAACAATATTTTATATCCTCAAAAAAATTCTTAATGGAAGATTTCCTAAGCCCTCTCCAATGACTGATTAATAAATGGAATATCATTCTAATAGAGTGGAAATCACAATTTAAGCCTGACTGCACGAGGGGTACTGTGCAGCATCCCAGTGAAAGAAAGTGGACACAAATGGCCATGACCAGCATGAGTCCCTCTCAACTAAGTCTGAGCAAGTCGTGTCTTACAGAAAGCAGAATAATTACCTACAGCAAATGGACAGATGAAGAGCTGGGGACTCTCTGATCAGCACCTTGGTTGGTTATACAAGTTTCACACTCATCAAGGAGGCAACGGATTTGTAACATGTTGGGTATCAGGAACCCTACTACTGAGCCTGTGCTGAGCATATGGCAGGGTGTGAGCAAGCAAGCAACCCTCCTGCCTCGACTCTCCTTAACAGAGGACTGTGCCGTGTACGCTGAAATAAATCCTTTCTTCCCTCCGTCCCCACAAAAAGATTGCAGTATCCATCCCACCTAAGTTATTTGTTCTAATTAGGAGAGACGTAACATTGAAAGATTGCTTAGTCAGAGATCTCTTCACAATGTTCGTGTTAGTTAAGTACATGTTCAGTTCTATGGCCAAGGCTATTGGTGCCTGCCCACATTACACACACACACACACACACACACACACACACACACACACACACACCCCAAATTATAACCACACTTCCATACAGTATACCAGATTATAACTGACCAAGACATCAGGGACCCTTCCCTCCCCATGGAACCTGGCGGTGGTGGAAGGGCCGGGGTTATTAACACCCCAGGGAGCGGTGCTCACCTTTAAGCACTCATGTCTTCTACACAGGATCCCCAAATTCCCGAGGGCTTCAGCAGCTCTCAGAGTGCTCACTGAGCTGATCACGTGTGGACTCCGACTCCCTGCCTTCCCAGGCCTCTAGAAATCTCACTGAGGATTACTTTCTAAGGAAGTGTCCTCCTTTGTGGGAGGAGGGCTACATACATTTATACACCTACGATACGCTTTTGACTACGCAGATTTCACTCTGATTTTAAAAGTCTGGGGGTTGGGGAGACAGTTCAGCAGCTCAGAGCACCTCCTGCAGAGGACCAGGGGTCAGTTCCTAGCACCTAAGCAATCTGCTGCCCTCAACTGGCCTCCAGGGGCACCCGCAATCACAGATGCACCCCCACACACAAAATACATGTACAAAAAAAATGTTTTTAAGTTGAAAAATTCAGAATGAGAATGGTTACTAGAGATTAGAAAAAAAATCACATTTCAAAACAAATTAAACAGGCGGATGAATAAAAGTGGCATCGCGCAGACCTACGTAACAGATCAGAATCACCCAACCCTACGCATCCGAGGCCCAAAGGAACAGCTCAGAGCATCCAGGTCCCTTGTGCGCAGCAAACCTACAAAGTTAGGTCTCACTCTGCAGCCAGATGGGCCTCAGGACTGCAATCCTCCTGCCTCAATCTCCCCAGGACGAAATTACAAGCACTCACCATCACTAGTTTGTTCTTCTGAGTTGACCAAAGCACTTAGAAAATTAAATTCAC